CTTTGTAGTAAAAAGGGGTCTGCTGTATAGAAAAACGCAAGATGGCGATCGCTGGGTTGTACCAAAGGGAGTACAATGGCAAGTATTAAAGGCTAATCACGATGATATTGGTCATTTTAGTGTTGATAAAACTTACGATAAGATCAAGGGTCAATACTGGTTTGCTAAAATGCGGAGATTTGTAAAAAAGTATGTGAATTCTTGTCTTGAATGTGCTCACAGCAAAATTCCAGCTGGCAAGAAAGCTGGGGAATTGCATTCAATACCAAAAGTTAATAGACCATTTGACACTATCCATATAGACCATTTAGGGCCCTTTGTGCGCAGTAAAAAGAAAAACTCTTATTTGTTGCTAATAATAGATGCATTCACTAAATTTATTATCCTAATACCAGTAAAAAGCACGAAAACAATCCATTCCATCAGAGCAATAAAACATTATTTTCACACTTTTAGCGTCCCGAGAAGACTTATTTCTGATAGAGGAACCTCATTTACATCTAAACGGTTCAATGAATATTTAGACTCGTTAGGTGTCAAGCACGTGCTGAATGCTGTTGCCACTCCTCGTGCTAATGGGCAAATAGAACGGTATAACCGTACAGTATTAGCTTCTTTAACAGCGTCAAATTTTGGTAAGCCTGAACATTTATGGGACGAATGTGTAAGTGACATTCAGTGGGGATTAAATAATACAATAAATAAAACAATTGGTAAAACTCCTGCAGAAGCTTTATTTGGTATTAAAACAATAGGAACCAATGATTCTTTGGTGCAGATTAATGTTTTAAGTGATTCCGATAATGAAAATGCACAAAATACTAATAATATTGACAGTATTAGGAACGAAATATCGCAACGAATTAAAATTGATCAAACAAAACAAAAGGAGCGTTTTGATAGGAAGCGGAAAATCTTAAAGTTCGTTGTAGGTGATTTGGTTAGAATAGAGAGAGAGATTCCTTCAACAGGTAAAAGCAGAAAATTAATTTCTAAAGTTCGCGGTCCTTATCGTATATGTAAGGTTCTCGATAACGATAGATATGTAGTCGAAGATACACCTATATCACGCAAAGGCAGACGTTTTAGTGGTATATTTTCCGTTGATAAAATTCATCCTTGGTTGGTTTATCAACGAAACTATGAGTCTGATACTCAAAGTTCAAATAGTAATACCGATGAATGAATAAGTAAATGATTACAAATAATTTGTTATTAGTGCTGCAAGGATCATTTTCTTTCTTCCTGTAATGATTAGAAATAAATAATATTTCTTTTTTTCATTTAGTTAGTTATTACTATTTAAATAATTTTAGTTGTAAAAAAAAACAATACTGATATTTGTTTATAATTATTTTGTTTATTATAGTACATTATATTAATGTCATCATTTATTAGGAAAATGAATATTGAAGACATGAATGGGGCTTCAGTATTCTTTACTTACTTCTTGCCTCTTGAGAACATGAAGGGGTCTCATGCAGGTGAATATTGAAGACATGAATGGGGCTTCAGTATTCCTTACTCACTTCTTGCCTCTTGAGAACATGAAGGGGTCTCATGCAGGCGAATATTGAAGACAGGAATGGGGCTTCAGTATTCTTTACTTACTTCTTGCCTCTTGAGAACATGAAGGGGTCTCATGCAGGCGAATATTGAAGACAGGAATGGGGCTTCAGTATTCTTTACTTACTTCTTGCCTCTTGAGAACATGAAGGGGTCTCATGCAGGTGAATATTGAAGACGTGAATGGGGCTTCAGTGTTCTTTACTCCTTTCCTACCTGTTGAGAACATGAAGGGGTCTCATGCAGGTGAATGTTGAAGACATGAATTGGGCTTCAATATTTTTGCGTTGTTATTTCATTAATTTAAAATAAACTGTAATTAATTTTATATGATAATACATTTGATACTTTCCTTTCACGGGACGTGAAAATGTCAGGAAAGGCCGATTGTTAGCAATTAAATATAAAGAACAATTAAGCATAATATATTGAATTATCCTAATTTTAATGTAGTTATCTCTTGAAATATACATCTAACTTTAATAAATGTAAATCGAATTTCCGCTTTGTAGCTTTGAATTTCCGGTAAGATTTTTATTGTAATAGTTTCGGATTTGACTTCGAACAAAAGAGGTATAAAAATGGCCGTCACGACCCAAGCTAGGCATTCAGTTCTAAGGTATTGAAACTTAAGAGACGTGATTGTTTTGTGAAAAAGATATAGTGAAGGTAATAAGAGTAGAAGTGATTATTTGTACGATAAATAAATTGTGAGTTATAAACGGATGAAATAAAAGTGATATATTGTAACATACCTAAATTGTATTATTTGCTAACAAGTGTATTATTTGCTGACATTAGGTATTACGTCTGTGGTTAAATTATTACTTAATTATTTTTTCGCTATAAGTACCTATCTAACAAAAAAAAATTAAATAAATTTACCTTTCATTATCCTTCGGTAACTCAAAAAATGTTATATCGGAATCCTTTTAATTGCTCATTAAGCATCCATCCCCGCAACAATTATAGTAGGAACGACGTTATGCCGTTATAATTTATGAAATATAAATATATAAAGGTAATATACATATATTATTTTTAAATTACATTAAAACTTTTTCAACTACTTTATTCTACAATTAAATATACTAAACACTAAACAAAAACTATTTCGACGAGTATTTCAACAAGTATTTACAAAAAATTATTTACGTAAACATAAAAAAAAAATACTTTAACATTCAATCGTATAGAGCGCGCTAGCCCCGACCGTAGGTAATTAATTATGTCACGCAGGTAGCAAGAGTGACAGAGGCCTGACAATGGTCCAAATTTACAATTGTCATTCTGCTTCTATATTTTGATTTTAAGTGCTTCATTGTTGAAAATATGGATTCGCATGCGTATGTTGTATGCATTATACGTGTGTATTTTAAGAGATAATACCCTTAAAATTGGATATTTGTTTTCATCAACAATATTCCAAAAGTTTTCGTCCCTCATGTATGATTTCAGGCTCAAAGTCGTTCTTCATGGTTATTACTTCTAGCTCTAATTCATCGTAATTTTCTATGCCAAAATAGTTTTTGATCTTTTCCGAAACATCACCTGCGAATGAAAATTTCGGGAATCAAGGAAGTGACACAACATTACTATTTAAAAATGTATTTATTGCTTTTCGAAGTATTCTCCGCGAAATTTGACACATTTTTCCATACGATGGAACCAATCATTGAAGCAACCATTCCATTCGGAAGTTGGGGTCTCCAAAATGGCAGTTTTGTAGGCGTCCACAGCTTCTTCAGGTGATGAAAATCTCTGTCCACGCAATTTATTCTTTATTTTAGGGAAAGTATAGAAATCATTAGGGCTTAGGTCGGGGCTGTACGGCGGATGGTCTAATAATTCTATGTTTTCTTGCTCTAAAAACTCTTTTGTTCTGTGTGCGGTGTGAGAACTCGCATTGTCGTGATGGAGGATGATGCGGCGGTTGCAGTTCTCTTTACGGAGTTCAGAAACGACCTGTGGCAAACAAATGCTAGCATACCATTCTGCATTAACCGTTCTTTGTCCCTCAAGAGGAATATCGTATATCATAGCCGGTTTTGGAGACAAATGTGACCACCATTTTTTTTGCAACACTCCGTGTACGAACAATTTTTGTTGGCTTTAACTCATTTTCGAACACCCAAACTCGTGACTGGTTTTTTGTTTCGGGTTCGTACGCATATATCCAGGATTCGTCACAGCATATATATACAGCATTTGAGGATCCTGCGTGGAATCTATATGGTATCCATCGGGAAAACAACTTTTTTACACCTAATTGTTCATGCAAGATTATTTGTATTTGACTCATGCCAATGTCTAAAGTTGCCTGAATTTCGCGGTATGTCACATGTCGATCTTCCTCAATCAGCTTACGCATAGCATCAACGTTTTCTTGGGTGACTGCAGTTTTTGGATGACCTTGACGGGGATCATCACTGAGCTTGACACGTCCACGTTGAAATTCAGCAAACCAGCGATAAATTGTGGTTTTGGATGGGGCTTCATCACCAAACCAAATTAACGCTGCTGTGTTTCGTATGGTGAGTGTAGAGAACCGGAGACCCTTTTTACTGGCAAAGAGGCATTCCATCTTAGTCCTCACGGGTGACAACGCATCTGCATCTTGAGTCTTTATTGAGGATAGATGTAGATGTCTATGGGTCACAGTAACCACTTACCATCAGGTGGACTGTGTGCTCGTTTGTCACCCTATCCTATAAAAAAAAATATGCAGAAATCATCCGGTCAACACACTGTTTTTGTGTTAAACCACTTCGAAAGTCATAATAAATCATCGCTCTTGAATTTTCTCGAGTCAATTCCATTTTCTCAACGACTAAACAAGTTTGACATAACCTTGTGACAAGACCGAGAATCTTTTTTAAAAAAATAAATGGTATTCGATTTTTAAAACCAAGGAGTTTTCAATTAAAAAGATTTTAATATGACAGGAACAGTGGAAATATTCCATTTCCGATACTTTTAGTGCAGCCTATGTATTCAGCGGGGAAACGCAGCCAGCGTTCTTGGCATGATACCGCGGGGAGTAGGACTATATGATAATTAAGTTCCTAGTTTTAGTTTTTCTTTTTGTTATTATAGTTTTTAATATTGCATATAATAAAATATTTATTTTATTAAAAAAAGGAGCAGATTTTGCCTAAGACAAGTTTAGCTTAATATGTTCTAAATGGTTTAAGGTATCATCCCCTTCAGGCTTTCCACCCGTCTTCCAATAATATAGTGTATAATATAGTAATATCATTAGTTTATTTTTTTTTAAATAAAATTATCGATAGGCTGAAATGAAGTCACAGATAAATCTGTTATATAATAATGTCCTCCAGACTGAATTTCGGCCACGGGGGCCAGTCTCTACGGAGACTAGCTATCGGTGCAGGTTTTTTTGTAATATTTGAATTATATTTTTTAATTTTCAGGAAAGCGCGTGACATTCATTTCATGAAAAGAGTACAGGCGAAATGGCAGATGAAGTTATCTTTGAAAGCAAATAAATTCCAAAAGCATTACCGACCTCAAGTTAACTTCTAGGTTATTGTTGTTGCTTATTATATTTTTATTAGCAGTAAAAAGATGATTTATCACATTAGTATGTTTACCTGGATAATAATATGTGATAGCATTAATAAAAAATAATACCTTTATTAAGATATTATTTTGTGAAAGTTATAATTATCAAACTAAATTAGATAGAATCAATGATGTATACCATTTCACACAATTTTGCTTACGCATGTTAGTGTCCCTCTAAACCGAAATCATGACCTACAATTGCTATATCGGTACATAATCTATGGGCTTAGCTAAACACGGATATAGTTTCATATTCAATTATTGCGTCTGTGTAAATCTATAGACATAATTTCGCATCATACGAAAGATTGTTATTGCCATTTAAGTCATAATAAATGAAATTATATTTTTATTTTTTTTTATTCAGTACAACAAGCAATTACATAATAAGATTTAGACTAAATAACAATTTATAAATACCATGAGTAATTACTAATTATGTAATCAGCACTGTTATCCACAAAGTATGATACAGAGTAAACTAAGTGTTAGTGAATAAATAAATAAAATTGACAAATCTAAGCAACATGAGAATGTCAAAAAGAGACAAGGAAAGTAATTAGATAACAAAAACCCTCAGAGTAATTACATACATTTCTAGTAATCACTCTGACTTAACTGTAGATAACAATGATGTATTGTGAAATATTTTTATACTATTCGATGTCTAAAAACAGAGAGCGAGCTGCATCTTTGACATCAAAGTTCCCGTATTGAAAACGTTTGAACCAACTTTGTGCTACTCTTACTGACTTATGTATAGAATTTCTTCTTTAGATTCACTCATTTTGGCGGACAGAAAAACAATTGAAAAATGGCGGGAAAGTGTTTTTTACCTTTTATTTTTCTTTTTTTTTTTAATGTCCTATATGTATTGATATTTAAACCAACCAGATGCACAGAACAGTATAACCTAAGAGATTTTTCTTCAATTTTATACAAACATAAGAATTCAAAATTAAAAATTTTGTACAGCCGACGTCAATATAAGCGACTTCAATATAAGTTATTTAAGAATAACTCAATAACCATTGGTCTGACCTTGATCAAATTCATATGGGACCACACGAGAACTATCAGCTTTTTCATATAAAAAAAGAATCATCGAAATCGGTTCACCCAGTACAAAGTTATGAGGTAACACACATAAAAAAAAACATACACGAATTGAGTACCGTCTCCTTTTTGAAAGTCGGCAGAAAATACGAAGAGACTTTTCCCCGACCTATTATTACATATTACACGTAGCAACAACTTATCGCTACATGGTAGTTATAAACTGTTAGTTTTGTTATCATTACTTACAATACGAGGCATTGGGGGGCAGCAAGGCGGATATTTGCTTGGGTCATGCCCTCAACCCTGTCAAAAATAAGAGGAGGGTACTGGGCAAAACAATGGGATGAATATTAAGCTGTGTCTTTACTATATAATAATTATTGGTAACATCGTTAGAAATGATAGTGCAGAACTAATAAAAACATTTTGACTCTGAAAATCATGTTTCCAGCCACAACCTAGAAGTATTGATACATTATTCGGCTCAAAAATTGAACACTTAATTGGTATTTTATTATTATTATTATTGTTTATATTTAATAGTTACTAATTTACAATTACATACATTCAAATACCTTACATTATGGTACAGAAAGTTTAAAAAAATTATCGCATGTGGTGGTTTCGTTCGTACAAAATGAGCGGTTGCTTGATAAAATAGACAAGCGGCTAGCTGTCAATGCGGATAACCGGTTATGGGTGCTTATTTTGTTATGCTTACCACGATGCTTATCACACACACACATGCTCAATGTGCTCTTTTCATTTTAGACTATCACGAGTCCAAGTCGGCATTAGGTTTATGGCTCCGCAGTTACAAGTGATTTGACCCTGTTCTATCTACATTTACTTGGTCTGCTGTCAGCATTTAAAAATAATACTTTTTCATATGACATCATAAATATAATAAAATTTGTCTTACATTTTCCAAACCATACATATTTCCTGCCGACTTGAAGTTAGCTAGAGCCGTTGTTCAATTGAGAATGATGCTGCACTTGAACAAAACTATATCTACACTTTGGTGGATTGGTGTATAACAAAGTGAAGTGCATGAAATTGAACGTTGATAAATGGACACATAGCAAATTTACTATGAAATCCAAAATTCTCCAAACAGCTTATGATATCAAAGGCATTCAGGTCAAAGAGGTAAATGTCGTCAAAGATTTGGGTATTCTTTTGGCGCACAAGCTTACATTTGTCAATCATATTGATCAAGCTACAAAGAGAGCATCAAAAGTGTTAGGGTTAGTTTACACCTAGACGTGACGCGACACGACGCGGCGCGCACTTTTTAAGATAGTGATAAAAAATATAACTATTTACTATACAAAAAGATATACTTTTTATTGAGATAATTCGAAAATGCCCCGTGGCGTCGCGTCGTGGCAACGTGTCTTGTGTCTACTATTTTCGTGTTGCGCCGCGTGGTGTCTTGCTGCGTAGCGAGGTGTCGCGCTGCCAGCGGCTTCACGGTGTATCTTGCGGCGGTGCGCTGCACGGTGTGAAACAACTGGCCTCTTCAAGCATCGTCGCGTCGCGTCGTATCGCGTCTCTTGTGTGAACTGACGTTTATGGTTCGTATTAAGAAATGGGGAATTTTTCAGAAAACCGACAACCAAAACGATGCTCTACCTGCAGCATCGTGCGTTCAATTTTAGATTATTTTATTATATTTATTGATAACTATAGTGTAGTTTGGCGTTCACATTTTGTAACTTATACTCTGAGAATTGAACATTATGTACTAGATACTAAGCTGTAGCAATTAAGATTTTATTGGTGTAACAATCATTGGTAATCTAATTAAATAAATAAAAAAAATAAAAAATCGTGTTGTAGGATATGGAGTGTCGTTGATATTACTCCCAGCTCGACCAAATAATTATAATCAGCATACTGATAAATTTCACATCGTTAATACAGCCTATCGTAGTCCACTGCTGAACTTAGGCCACCTCAGATATTGCCTTATAATGGGAATATTTATTAAACATCGCATGATAATATTTACCAGACTTAATATACCTAAGTAATGTAGTGTATAGGCCCTATTAGAGAGTATAGTAATTATTAATCCATAATAAGTAATAAAGAGCCTTGACTGTGTTTACAGATACATTAAATTTATAGTTAATGGAATCACTCATATTTACCACATATTTTCTATCGGTGAGGTTATCTTTACACCACGTCAGCAGAGATCCTCTCATAATATCGTTCAGACTGTTTAATAGTTTGTCATGACTAAGTATATAAATAGCCTTACTGTATGTAGTCTGTGAACACTAACAACATAAGTTTTTCAACCGAATTCATAAAAAGGAGGAGGTTCTCAATTCGACAGTATTTTTTTAATGTGTATTACCTCAGAACCTTTTCCTGGTGAACCGATTTTGATGATTCTTCTCATGTGGTCCCATATAAATTTGATCAAGATCTGACCAGTGGTTTGACCATTGATGATGTTTTCATTTTATTTATATTGCGACTTCAACTTTGGCTGTAACTTTAACCTTTACTTTGTAACACCGTTAATAGCTGTATTTTTGTGCTAATATTAATAGCTAATATTTCTGTGAGGTTGAAAGCTAAACTATTTGTCAGTTTTTATATTATTTTTAGCATAGAAATTATGAATTTGACTACATACAAACTTTTCGGCTATTTTATTAGCGGTAGGGGTTTCTCTGCGTGATAGATTTAAAAATGAGGATATCCGCAATAGAACCAGAGTAACTAACATAGCCCAATGGATTAGTAAGCTGAAGTGGCAATGGACCGGCCATATAGCTCGAAGAACCGACGACCGATGGGGAAGAAAGGTTCTCCAGTGGCAGCCTTGTACCTGTAGGTGAAGTGTAGAGCGGCCTCCTACTGGATGGAGTGTAGACCTGATAAAACATGCAGCAAGTCGATGGATACAGGTGGCTCTGTGTTCAGAAGTGACTGTAATGTATGAAAAAAAGGTAATATAGTAACGTGACTTTTTTTTACACAATAACGTGGTGACAAACAAGCACAAAGTCCACCTGATTGTAAGTGGATGACGTGGCCCATACACATCCCTAATTAAGAATCGAAAATTAGATGCGTTGTTATTTGTGTATCCTTGAAGATTCAGATGAAATGTCTCATTTTCAGTAATAATGGTCTCCGGTTCGCCACATTTACCATACAAAAGACAGCAGCATTAAGCAGCTATTTTACGCTGGTATTCTGTGAGAGCATGGTCCTTCCCCGGTAGAGCCGACACTTTCGTGTTACAACCATAATAGCTGCAGCATGGCTCTACCTGCTGACTTATATTTACCGTAGTTAGCCATGCTGTGCCTTTTGTGTGTTGGTTTAACAATAACCTTTTTTAGTAATTAAGGATTCTTACCCTTTTTAATACATGTCTCAATAAGGCTTGTAATTAATAGCTTACTATATATATATATATATTTTAATTTTATGGCTCGTATCTCAATTTTCATCAATACCAGGAGTTTTATTGGTGACTAGGAACTTAATGATTTTTTACTGCAGTAGTGTCAGCAGGCGTAATAACCTCATAGATACATTCACGTTGTCACAGTACCTATATAGATTTATTTAGTGGAGATTTAGTATTTTTATGTGGTAGAGTCATGCTACAGCTATATTGGCTATACATAGCTGTAGCACGTAGCGACTGGGTCGGCTCTACCGGTGTAAGACCACGCTCTTACAGAATATCAGCGTAAATAGCACCTTAATGCTACTGTGTTTCGCATGGTGAGTGTAGAGAACCGGATATTTTATTCCTCAAGGGTGACAACGCATCTGCATTTTGACTCTTGATCAAGGATAGATTCTTGATCAAGATGTCTCAGCACCCACTCACCATCAGGTGGACTGAGTGCTCGTTTATC